AGATTTATACGTATGATGAACAAATTTTACTTAGATATATATACCTTACGACTAGCACTTCACAGTACATGTCAGAAAGGTTATTGTTGAGATACTGCTTCTTCGTCGCGGCGTCACGTATGGCACCTGATTTTTGGTGAATTTTATACCCACTTGTTTTGTTTTCCCCGTTGTGGAATGACAGAGAACCGAAAACAGCGCAACAGGTGAACTTGGAAAGGCGTGGACTTTTAGGAGCGCTGTGTGGAAACAAAGATGCAATAGTTGTGTTTTAAAGCAGCTTACAAACTGTAGCTCAATCCAGGAACTTAGAACTGCATTTTAAACAACTACCCTCTATACCGATAAACAGAAATGTTTACAGTTTTCCTGCACTTTCATCATTTCCTTTTACGTTTCAGAACCGATTGCTACGAAAAAGTTTGTGTGGGAGGAGATAAGGGAATTAGGAATGTTTGAGGGTTTTTAAATTACTGTTTCGGGTGTCGGTAAAACTTGCGCAATTATTGGCAAAGAAATGGGTAACTTCTTTCGCTTTGCATAAATTGCCAGTTACAGTATAATAGGTTGGGTGCAAACGATTCGACGAATTTGCAGTTGTAATTTCAATTTTGGCTTTTTACTTTTTGTCTGTTTTTTTTTTCTTCTTTGGCTGTTTGCTTAATAAGCAAAGATTAGACTTTTTAGATTAGCACAGCAGTTGCCTTATTTTTTCAAAACGGTTACAGAGTTACGATTTATCTTATAAAATCATAACTTTCTATTTTTTTAAGTTTTTAGCTTGATTCGTTTTTAATGATAGTCCCCTTTTTTTCTCATAAACACTAGGTGTATAACTTTTACCTGTGGGCTTTCGGATACATGTAATCTACACAATTGTTGTGAAACAATTACGTTAAGAACTAAGAAGGTTAAAAAAGTACGCGTTTCGCGGTTATCAGTAATCATTCTTTAGAACTGCAAAGAATAGTCGTGACTGTTGCATCTTTTACAAAGTGCTAATCGAGGCGCTAAGATTTTAAAGAAGAATTTGGAATCACCTTTTATTCGCTGGCAGTTTAGGAGTATAAATTCTGAATAATATAGGGACTTTAAGTACGGACTAGTATTTGGCCATATAAATCGGGTAGTATTTTCATTTAGTGTCACAACATCTTGCTTGGTTATACTTTTATCTATCATCTCGCGACACAGAGTTGTCTGTTTTGATGAATACTAATCAAGGTTCTGTCGTATTTCACACGAGATACTCGTGTCACTGGCGGCGGTAGCATATTTGGCTCGATGGTGATGGTACATAATAGACAACAATAATACAAGGAATTATAGTAGAAGTAAGAGCAGCAACTAACTAGCAGGAAGTTACCAAATAGTTTTTCACTGATGTCTGGCAGAAATAGATCGGATGCATTTGCTATTAGTCAAAAGAAGTTACACCTCTGTCTCAAGGTAATATAATGATTTCTAACTACAACATTTTAACTATGATTCTACATCAAATTTTTTTTTGGGACACTAACTTGAAAGGTCTACGGAAATTACCTTAAGTTGTATTGTGTCATCTTCATCTGATTTCCATTTAAATCTAAGAGGAAAACGGCATCTAATGTGTACTTGAACAGAAGAGGTCGCGCAAGTATAAGAAACGGTAAGGCAGAATCAAAAAGGAGATGAAAATGGGACTGCTGGTCGTCAGCCATCTGAAACGACAGTATTGTAGTCAATTAAAAATTACAAATTGTTGCTACAACTGTGTTGGGACAGTACGCGAAATGCAACCTCAAACTACAGTAGGCAGTCACTGACACTACTTATCCCTAGAGGGGCGCTTCTGAAGTTATCTGGTCAGTCTGCTCTACGAAGGCTATATGGCGTTGCTACAAGTACCGGGATCAGTTTTTTTTTTTTTTTTTTGGAGTTAATTTCCATCAGTTATTCAATCGGTGCTTTTCAGTTATCAGTTATCAGTCTTCAACTAAATCTTTCTGATTAGCCCCAGTCAGACTAATCAGTAAATATAAATAGGCTCGTGCTTGATTATCGATTTATAGTTTATAACGTGGCCATTTAGCAGTTTATTGTATTCTTATTTCAGTGGTTTATTCTAATAATGCTTGCTCATTGAAAAGAAGTCAGGCCTGTGCCTAGTGATTCCTTTCTCATTACTGTCATATCATAACGTGTCAATAAACCAGATTACTTAAGCCACTGCTGTACGTAACAAGGTACCATTTCACTTGAACTTATAGAAACAGTCCGCTGCTTATCAAAACAGTGCAGTCTTCCAAAAGTACTGCGAACATCGACAACCACAACTGTCCGCAGAAAATAAAACAAAATAAGCAAATTGGAATAAGTTCCCACAAAGGGATACTGTAGGGATGCAAACAGTCTCTCAATTAAAGAACGTGTTGGTGGCTGCAACAACCTGTTATGATGGTCATTTATTCGGGGATAATGTGTAAGCACTAACGAATCGTTGCACACAGTTAAGGATTTAAATTCTTGAGGAGCACAACGATTTGAATTGATTTCAGTGATGTTTATTTGAGTAGTAAATAGCATACCAATTATAAATTAGAATGAGGAATCAGCTGTTTAAGGATTGACAGAGATTTGGAGCAAGAGATTTCTAAGCTTCAATCAGGTACTGCGTGGGCCAGTTTGGGGTACCTGACAAAGACTGATGTTGGAAGTGATGCAAATCGCACTTTAAAACTTTGTAGAAAATAACTTTATTGGTGACAAAGGACGTCACCGAAAGGGAAGAATGAAGGAATAGCTACCATATGTTTCTTCCTTTTTACTGCTGAGTTTATCAAGTAAACTTTTATTTGAACCATTCTGAGTCTAGATTGAAAAACGGTTATGCTCAATTACTTAAGGTGCATTTACGTAGATGACCAAAATAGGGTAGTATAATAGTGTGAGAGATGCAGCCTTGATTTGTATAAAAATGCTTGCATAAAAACGTGTATTTCATATGAAAATTTTTGTTATTTGCCAGTTACATCTCTGTAGTATTTTATTTTTTTGAAACTTCAAATGGAATGGCTTTTGTCACCCATCACCTACATTCCAGTAACTGTTTTATAGTGTAAAATGGAGAGAGGGAGGTAGTAAGTTTTCTGCTGATTATCCATGAAGTATGATAGGATATCAATTAAATATGTAGACGTATTGTGTAAGGCGATTTTTTACCCACTTCAGATTATCCTGAAAATGGGTCATTTGAAATCAAAATGTTTAATGCATTTAAAGAATATTGGGACCTTAAGATTGACAAGTTTTTTGTTTTTATTTGATGACTTTTAAGGTTCTGAGACTTGATATTTGTTGTGTATTTATTGAAGTTAAGAATCAGTTTTAAATATTTGCGGAAATTGATTATATCTGGGCGTTTTCATTTAGCAGTTGAAAAAAGCTGCTTTATTCCAATTGCGATCTGCTAATAAGTACACTGATGTATTGGAACTGATGAAAGATACAATTTAGCTCTACACACACTGTTTTATCGGTCGTATTTACGGATGATGTGCAATGTTGGTAACATCATGTAATAGCTAATTTATTTTTATTTCTAGACCATTTTGATGCCATTCTGATGTACTGCTCGAAAAAGTCTAAGCAAAAAACAATGTTTATTGAGCGTTTAAAACAGTGTAAAGGTCAAAAAAAAAAGCTACTTAATGTTTGTATATTGTCAAAAAGAACAAGAAAGTGGAAC